CATAGGGGGTGGCGAATTTTGATTCCTCATGAAGATAAAGTTGGTGTTATTATCCCAATCAACGTATTGTTCAGAGGGGGTGGCAAATGTTGACCCCTCATGAAGATAAAGTTGATACTATTTCCCCAATCAACATATTGTTCTGTTATGTCGCACTCATGAGTCTGGGCGAACGTTAAGGTTGCGGACAACATGTTGAAGCTGGATTGATGGATGTTTTTTTTTGTGAAATATATAGCGCCTTTTATATCAATGGGGCTATATATCAATGGGGATATTTATAGGAAATATCATCAATATTGATATATATATATATCTCTATATCATATAGCTAATTTCCTATAAATGTCCCCATACAGTTCCTATTTATAGGGACATATAGTTGATTTTCTGGATATAGCTAATATCATCATATATCCCGGTAGGGGCGCCCTGAGCAATGCCATCAATGGTCCCCTGAGCTGAGGCCGGTAGGATTTTTCAGCTGGTCCCCTTAGGAAGCAAGACGATGCGTGATTTGATTCTGGTGATACCAGTTTGCTATTGAAAACGGCCATTTGTAGTGGATTTTCCCATGAAAAATTGCCATTTTCAATAGCTATGTTAAATTACCAGAGGGTATCTTGTCCATTGAAAAACTCTGGTAAACATACAAAAAAACTATTGAATGGTGATTTATAGTGGATTTATCCAGCTATAAAATAGTGATTTTCCATAGTTATGTTAGTTTACCAGAGGGCAATGTGATTAAAAACTAGTTGGTGATACGTATCCACTGATGAATTAAAGCATTGGTTGAGAAAACGCATCGTACGACAGTCTCTTCGCCTGTGATCCGGGCCATTATCGATGGTTTTTTTGGTTCACTGGCAGTCACTGGCTTCGTGTTTCGCTTTTTGCAGGAATTCAATGTTGAGAAGGACTTTGATGTCAAGAACAAGTACCAAAAGGCTGGAGGACAAAATTTTTCTGACACCCTTGGGGCCCTTTTACGTGAGGGTTTCTTGGGGTCCAAACGAGCCCACCTTTTCTTTTTCTGATGAATGTGGAGATTCTTTGCTGGTGATATGCTGATTTTGCTGGGTTGGGGGGTTGAAGGAAACACATCAAGAATACGTGGAATTTCGCTCCATTCTGGTTGAGGAAAACTATGAACAAGTGGGAGAGATACCTCGGCTTTCTGCTAGACCTCGCAAGTCATTGGAGGGCTTGACAATGAGCATGACCAAGCTGCTTGTTTTCCAAAAATAGGCAACACCCTATTCCGACCGTTGTTTGTACATATATATATATATAAATACCATCATTTTCCTCTCAAAATCTCAAAAACATGTGTATACAACATACAGCATTTGTTGACAGACTTGACAATGACCATGACCAAGTCAATAGCGAAGTCGGCATCCAGATTTTCAGCACCACCGGGGGCTGTTTACTGCAGTCTTAAGCTATGACCATCAGTTACCGCAAGTGGTTTTTAGTACTCCAATCACACTAGAATCCCTCAAAAAGTGTGTAATTTACCGGTCCATCGATCCAGTTTCGATTTCTGTGAGTTTAAGTTTGGAGGGTTCCATCACCCATAGGATCCATATATGCTACATATGGTAACATTTACCATCAATATACCCCCTTTATGTTAGCATATATAGCAGCACCATGGATCCGTCATGGGTCATGGTTCCATCTGAAATTTCTGGTGCACTGGCCGAATCGGATTTCCGTTTTTGCGAGGCGCAAAAATACATCAGATGCTCCGTTGGCATACCGCGTGACTGCGATAGACTGCGATCTAGCCCTGTTGGTTGAGCATTTTATGAAGTTATACAATCCAAGGGGCCCCCTAGATTAGATAGCTAAGTTGGTTCAAAAAACTCCAATAACTATGGTTTATGGTACTATTGGGGCGAATCTAAACCAACTTATAACTAGGGGGCCCTACATTGTACTATATCCAAATCTATCCAATATATTGGGCTGGCTGGTGGTTTGGAAGATGAATTTTGTTTTTTCCATAAAATGGGAATGTCATGATCCCAACTGACGAACTCATATTTTTCAGAGGGGGTGAAACCAGCAACCAGAATATGGTGGGGATTACCACAGTCTGGGAAATCCCATTAACATCATCAACCAGCCAGTTTTTGAAGGGAAGACACTGCGGGGTACCTCATTACCTCACCCTAAAACTGGGTATGGGTCAAAATTAGGTACCCCAATAATTGGATGGTGAATACTAAACTAGACTAACATCTGTGGTCCCCTAGGTCTTCCATTTTGACCCACATCTAACTGATGGTTGTGTATCACCAAACATACCAGGAGAAGTGGGCAAAGTGGGGATGCATTGTTGGCGGTTTATTGTTAGCGTGGATGCCCCAGAATTTCTCAGGCAAACGTTGTGGCTTTTGAGTTTGAGAATAGAAAACCAAGAAACTATGGATGGGGAGAGCATCCAGCATTATAGTTCTTTCATGTTCTTTCTATTAATCTCATCCCTTTCAGGTCATTACCCCTCACCTTTGGGATCCTAATCCCATGGTTAAAGTGGGACCTTTCCCACTTTTTCTTGGTTTTAGAAGGGTCATTTGGAACAGCGGACAGTCATGGAACCTATGGGTGTCACAAGCCCACCGAACCGGGGAAGGCACCGGGTGCAGCGCTGAGGATGTGACCTTTGCCAAATGGCCGTTGGGAACACTTTCGATTCAGTACCTCGATTTTACTCCGTTCCCAGTGAAATGATGCTGACCTTTTTCGGAGGGGTTTCTGAAGTCATGGGAGATCCCCAGTCGAAACCCTATAGGTTTCAAGATCAATGGATTGGTTTAAGGGCCATGAAATACAGGAAAAACCATGGAACACCCCATATCTAATGGGAACATCTATGAAACCCCCATTTTATGAAACTCACCGACATATCAATGGTCATCCATGACTTGGATGATTTCCGAGGTATCCCACATTTTAGGACTCCGGAAGAGAAATCGGTGGTTCCGTTGTGGTAGAAAATTATTGGGACATTGTTGTTGACCTTCTCAAAAGGCGAGGCTATTTTATTGATGTTTTAAGGAAAGCCTGTTAGTACTGTTTATGATTCGATTTTATTGATGTGGCGAGGCTATTTTATTGATGCTATAAACATGTTAGTCAGTAATCGCCATATTCTATTGATGTTACTAACATTGTTTTTAAGGGTATTTTTTTATTATGTTTGATTGCATCGATAAAATAAAAATTGCCATTTTAGTAATATGTTAGGGTATTACTAACAATTGCTTTTATTGATGTTACCATTGTTAGTAATACTCTTAAACATTGTAAATCATTGTTTTTGATTACCATAAAAATTAATATTACACCTCATTATTAATATTACCATGGTTTTATTATTGATGTTCATATTATTAATGTTTGATTGCCATATTGTCATAGAATTGGATGATGGGAAAATTGGAACCGGAAAGCCCTTTTTTTTTGATGGTAAAAACCATGGTTTCCTGTAAATTTTCCCTTAAACCAAACCAGTGATATGCCATTACCTTAATGGAAAATCACCATTCTTAATGGGAAAATCCACTATAAGTAGCCATTTTCCATTGCTATGTTAGTTCACCAGAGGGTAATGTTTGATTGCCATATTGCCATTGTTAGTCTCTTGCGACGGTCGACCGGTCGCCGATCGCCTAGGTTGGTTCAAGCTTCACAGAGGCGGGCGGAAAAAATCCCTGTCATCCATCCTATCCGCCCCCGGCTTCCGCGAAGTGGGAAACAAGGGGAGTTGACATAGGGAAAACCATAGGAAAACCATGGGAAAACCATAGGAAAATGGGAAAATCATAGGAAAACCATAGGAAAACCATGGGAAAACGGGAAACCACAGGAAAACCCATAGGAAAATGGTGATTTCATGAGATTGATAGCTGATTTATGATAGCGTTCAGTTGGTGCAAATAACTCCAATTTCACTATGATGTTTGTTGGTGATATATCGAACTAGTTTATGGGGTTTATAAACCAACTTATAACTGGGCGGGCACCACCCTGTATTTTCACATCTTCCCAAAGAAAGATGAGCATATCATCTAGAAAAATAATCATCTACAAAGATGAGCAAATAATCTACATTTATTATCGTAATAATAATGCTACTGTAATCGTTCTTCCATTGACGGACCAAGTTTGCGGGAAGGAATTCTCTATTGCCATGTTGGACACAGAAGGTACCCACTACTATCCAATAAAAGCATCAGATGGTACAACTTAAATGTCATGGTCACTTCTTGACCATCATCATTTTGGACTTTGACTTTGCGCCATGATGCTGCTCAATGCAACCATCCAACAATTGGACAGTGGTAGGAAGATACAACGTGGGCCCCCCTAGTTATAAGTTGGTTTATAAGCCCCAATAACTATAGTTATAAGTACCATAAACCATAGTTGTTGGAGTTTTTTGAACCAACTTAGCTATCGACTGGGGGCCCCACTTTGTATGGGTCTGACTGAACATATGGTCGCCCTAAATCCATTGGTTTGTCGCTAAAAGGTGCAGGTGGTGGTGGTAGTGGCGACGGTGGCGTTCTGGGAAAATGATCTACAAAAGGTTTACCCTCTGGTTATGACTAACATAGCCATGGTATAGATGGCCCATAGAAATAGATGATTTTCCCAGCTATAAACCTCCCTTTAGTTCAGGGATTTTCCATGGCTATGTTAAATAACCAGATGGTATATGTCATCTTAATTACTGCCATAAATGGTGGTATCTTGAGGCATCAAAGAGAAATCGAGAGAAGAAAGACGTAAACAAAACGCTTCAAATCCTCTATTATGGCATACTATGGCACATACTTTCCACATATTTTCCTCTTTTTCAACGCTCCTTCCATGGACTTGGCATTGCCGGTGAGGATGATGTGTACGATCACATCGAGAAGATCTGTGACGTTGGAATCTCAAGAGGCAGAGGGTACCAGAAATTGGGCATCCAAAATCTATTGGATGATCAATGGATTGGTTTGAGGGAACAGTTACAGGACCCCGATTTTTTCAAAAATCGATGGTTTGCTGTAGATTTTCCGCTAGAAAATCAATTGTCATCATTTTCCCTCTTAAAACTGCAAATTAGGGATGAAATGTCGCCTGGTTTTAGATGAACCATGACAAACCCAGATGATGGATAGCTAGGGGAACTACTGTAAAAACAGCTTATTTGGGTTGGTACTGGTTGGCGAATTACCACAATGTAGCCAAAGGTAGCCAGTTGAAGGCTTACGGAGCCAGTTTGGATATGCGATTAGGATGGGTGGATTGGCCAACTTGATTACCCAAAGTCGGGAAAATTCGAAACAAACATGGCGATTTCAGCATTTTTATGGGGATTGAGGAGCATTTGACCCCCCTATCGCTGCTAGTTTTTCTGTTTAGATCTCCATGCCTGAAATGATCGTGCCGGTGACTGGGTTGGAAAAGGCTACAGCCATTGTTGGTTGTTGCCCCGCAGCTACTTGTGAAATGCCCCATATAAATGCCCTGTAATCCCTATATATATATATATCTGGGATGCTGATTCAAGATCTACATTGATCTACCAAGTTCTAACTCCGACCACATCCCAATGTGTTGAAGTTCCATAACCACCAACCAAGTCCTGTCTATTCCTGGGTTGAATCCGGAGAAGTCTGCAACGTTTTGCTTGGTCGAAACCACAAATAAATCTGGATCACGGATGTTCAGCTTGTTGAGCTTGTTGGACTTTGACGGGTTCACCAACAAAAAAAGAAAGTACAGCAGGCATTCAAGCCAAGCTGGGCGAATCAGACCAAAACATATTTCACTGACCGACCTCACTGATGAAGAAAGGGAATCATCCAATCATCCCAAAATTGGTTTGTCTAACTTCTGATTTTAGATTTACAATGATCAACAAAAAAGATAGGTTGGCACATTCTCCGAACAGGTAGACACCATGGATTTCCATACCGGGTGGGGTCTCTTCGATCGATTTTTCTTGGATTTTCACTCGAAAAAAACACACAGCCTATGCTGGTTAGAACATCTTATGGGAAACAATTGAACTATATAAGTTATCTGATAGTTATATATATATATATTTTTCGAAATCAACAACAAGACACAGCACTCAATTATGACTCTAAATCACTCAATCATGGCTGTGTTATAAGTACAGGGTGGTGCCCCCCAGTTATAAGTTGGTTTATAACCCCCATAAACTAGTTCGATATATCACCAACAAACATCATAGTGAAATTGGAGTTATTTGCACCAACTGAACGCTATCATTAAAATCAGCTATCAATCTCATGAAATCACCATTTTCCGATGGTTTTCCTGGTGGGTTCCCGTTTTGGAGTTGTGTTCACCAACTGGACGCTATCGTGGCCGGGGGCACCACCCAGTTACTCAGTCGCTGCTGAGATTGATGACCTTTACGCCAAACACGAGCTCTTGGAGGCGGTAACCGCGACCCACGCGCTAAAAAAACAGGGGGGAAACTCCAATGGCCATAGAAATTTCTCGGGAAGGTGATGTTCTATGATTAACTATGATAGACATGGATAAACCACGTTTTTTTTTTGGACAATACATGAATTGTCGGAGATATTTGGAATAAAAAATCTTGTTCTTCATTTCTTCAATGAACCGATCTAGTGATGATTTCTAACGAACGGTCATGGTGTATTCCCGACCAGCTGCTGTTGAGAACAAAAACACCAGGTAGAGAACGGCTGGAAGATGGCGCAGGTGTGGGACCCAGCATAGATTCCCAATTTTTTCAGCCAGCAACATTCAAATCATTTACCATCTGGTTATTTAACATAGCGAACTGGAAAATCCCTGATAAATGGTGGTTTATAGCTGGGAAAATCATCTATAAATGGACAATTTTCCATGGCTATGTTAAATAACCAGAGGGTAATGTGGGTGAAACAATGCCATAAACCACCCATTTGGGAATGGTGCAAATACCACCTATAAAAATGGTGATTTGGGGGATGGTTTATTATTGTTTTACACACATTATTCGAGTTTATTTATGTATTCTATATAGAAGGAACAGTTGCAAACGGTAGATCCACACTTTGCGCACACCAAAGCTGAAGATTTAGTTCACTGCCCATTTTGGAGATTAGTTCACTGTTTTCTTGTTGGCCAAAGCTGCATGTTTCACCAGCCATCAATCCATCATGGCTATACAATGTACAAAGTCCATTTCCCATTCCTTGATGTGCATCCCAGTCAGCAGGTCTGCAACAACCATATTGTATTCAACCAAAGCCAGCTATATGTGGGAGATTGTGGGATATACTCCAGTCATACATGGATTAGTAACCACTTAGTTGGAGGGTCATCCCACTTGATAAGTAGTTGGTAATTACAGTTACAACCCACTGAGGGGACTTCCATCAGGGTTAGGATCACCAGTAGTCACAGTTCATACCCTCTGGTAAACATACAAACAACTATGGAAAGATCCACCCATTTTCTAGCTGGGAAAATCCACTATTTCGACTGGATCCATTTTCAATAGCGAACTGTCACAATTTACCGGGTAAGCCACGACTTGGGGACCTGGGATAGGACCAGTTAGCCCAGTGGGATGACTCTCCAGCCGCAGGTTTCGGAAAGTGACAGTCGCTCGGCGCACGCGGTGCGATGGCAATCCCATGCCATGAAGGCGCCACGGTTTCGAAAAAAGGGGGAGGTGAGGAGTTTCAGATGAACAAGATGGGCCAAATAGAGATAGATACCCCCTGGTCAATTGTGACATAGCTATTGAAAATGACCATTTATAGTGGATTTTCCCATTAAAAATGCTGATTTTCCATAGTTATGTTAGTCTACCAGAGGGTAACAGAGGGATTTAGGCAGCATACATCAGGAGGAAGAAGGTTTTTTCCCGTTTAGCGTCTTATAAACATCATGATCCTCAGCCGCGGATCAATTATCCTCATTTCGCGTGGCCTGCGTGGCGGATCGTATTTCAAGTCGGAATAAACTAAAATTCTTTTAAAGCGATCCGCCATGTGATTCATATGAGACCTGTCAGGAGTCTAAGGGAAGAGGGTTGCAGCAGCTAGTCAAGAGGAAGAACTGTTTTTTTTTTCTGGTGTTGTAGGATTCACATTATTTCACCAAATAGCATTAGAGATTTGATATGCAGAATTGGGCTTTCACAAGCAACACCTTTTGGGACTTGATGAGCCAAAACCCTGGGTTTCATCACCATTTTGGTCGTGTCACCAAGCTATTCAATTCAGGATCAATGATTGATACAGCAGAGGCCACAGCTACAAGATGCTATATGCAGCTTCACACTTTTCAAATGGAAGATGAATTGGCAAAGATCTTCTTGTGGGTTTACATGGTTTTATCATTATCATAGTTTTTTGCTGTCTAACCTTTCATTGTGATTCAAGGGCATTTACCCGTAATCTAATTGTTTGCTTCTTCATTTCCATCAGTGTGTTGTTTAAATCCCGGACTTTTATTCCTTTTGATCTACCTGTTCTACTTGGAATGCCTCAGATGTGGTCCCAACGTCAGATTTCGGCCAAATCAGATGTAGAAAGGGTAAGTTCATGTAAGTTCCACACGCCAAATCCATAACTTGCGGAAGTCTACAATGGAACCTGGGTAAACCTTGCTGGGCGGTAGCTTATTGGCTTGGTGTATTGTAGCGTAGCTTTGCCACGAACCTCACAAATGATTTAGCCTCGGAACGGATGATTTAGCCTTTGAGAAATGAGGACATAGGGTTCAGATCTCAGATAGGCTCATCCAAGGTATGAAACGGTCTTACCATAATAGATACTGTAAAAGTAGTCTTTTCAACTCCTTTCAACATGTCTCAATTTGAGATGTGGGGTAAACCCATTTCCAGTGAGTGGCTCTTAGGGAACGCGACAAGAAGGGACTGCTTTCGAACTGTGCCCCCCAGGAGCTTTGTGACAACATCGTGAGACCTTACGACGATGAGATCAAGGAGCGGGAGAGCATCACGGTGAAAGATATGGGTCTGCCACCATGGGGCAACCAAGTCATCAAAGTTCGTGTTCATGATAATGGCAATGTAAGATCAACCATGTAACCGTGATCATGCCATGATATGTAGGATATGTGACCAATGATATCCTTTCAAAGTTCCTCAAACCCAGTAGCCCAGGATATTTTTCTGAAGCACCTGAAGAAAGGTGGAAAGAAGGCGAAAACAACTGGAAGTGGTGATTTCCAACCGGATTTCTGAAGTGGGAAGGGACTGTGGGAATGCAACGGGTCATCGACTGGGTCCTCATGCTATCGGACCTCAATGGATGGTGACCAGATATGGATCTCCAATCTGAAGACCTCCTAAGGATATTGGAGTGGAGACCCAGCTACTGGAGTACCAGGAAAGATGGAACCAATATCTTTGGGGCTAGCGACTATGCCAATGTCAAATTCTTAATTTCAATTCTCAAGGATTTTTTTAATAATACAGCCTACAATGCACAGTAACAACTTAAGGATATTGATGCTCCACGTGAGGGTCCCTCAAATTCTTAAGGTAGTAAGGATTCGATGTAGCCCCAAAAGTATAGATTTCAGCCAAGCCCCTCAAATTTGAAAACAGCACTTTCTGTACTTTTGCTGTAGATGTTCAAGACTAGGGTTTCCTGTGCTGGAACGCTTTCGCAGCCCAGTGTGATGTTACATTTCTTAGCAACCATCCCATTTTCATGGATGCCAGTCTCCACGTCTGTGGGTGATTCTCCCTGCTTTTGAAACAGTGAGTGAACACATGAGCCATTATCATTAAACATACCCCAATAACCAGGTAATTTGACTCCTTAACTTCAGCAACCAATCAAACATCAATTATCAGCTATAGTTGCATAGCAGTTATATAAGTTATATATAAGTTATATATCAGTTATATCCCCATATGTTTGATACTTAAACCTTGTTAGCCCCCCTCTTTAAGAAGGCTCCCATGGTCATCCATTGGTGAAACAGGTGGATAGCCCTGAGCTGCGCGCCGACGTGATCGGCAGCGTTTCTGGGTTTTTGTTCAAACCTTTTGAGTTTCGAAGTGAGTTGTGTCATAAATCCCAATAGCTGGATGGTTTATTTCATGGAAAATCCTAGAATTCTTAATGGATGATTTGGTGGTACACGTTTCTGGGTCTATCTGAAAATGTTGAAGTGACCCCCAGTCATGGCTAGTCATGGTGTCTGAAAAGATGAAAATAGGAAAATTCACCGATGGAATCATAGGTAGCCCATTTTCAGACCCAAAAAAGGCCCATGCTTTGGGATAACATGATAGCAACTACCCAATCGGGCCTTTTCCGGGTAAACATTGACATACCCTCCAGTAAACTAACTTAACTATCGAAAATCACCATTTTCTAGCTGGGTAAATCCACTATTTCAATGGGCCATTTTCAATAGCACCGGAGGGTAGATGTGTAAAACTCATGGGGAAAACACCGCCCGTTTGGAACTCATGATCTCGCAATGTTGGTCCTTGAGACAACCACATCGATACGATGTTTTTGTTTGCCCGGCCGTTTGGGTACCAATAAACAGTTCGCGTAAGTGGATTATAAGTGGATTATAAGTGGATTATAACTGATAATTGATAATCCACTAATTGATACTTAAGTGAATTAGTAGTGGATTATATACTTATTCACTTACTGGGTATAACTAATTCAGTAAGTGGATCACAAAAACCCAGTAGTAACTGAATCATAGTTTTACTATCATACTCCGGTAACTAACCATCATATTGTACAACTCTTAAGTATGCTAGGGAGCAATTGTAGTGGCTTATATTGGGTATAACAAGTGGAGATAAAAGGATAGCAACTACTAATTTAGCTAGTAACTGAATAATAATGATTTTGCTCCATGTGCAACTGGGCATATCCTAAACATATAGAGCAAACATAATGGTAACTACTTTTCCGTTTTTGTGAGGACTGCCAGAATAGTACAAAGTGGGGCCCCCAGTCGATAGCTAAGTTGGTTCAAAAAACTCCAATAACTATGGTTTATGGTACTTATAACTATAGTTATTGGGGCGAATCTAAACCAACTTATAACTAGGGGGGCCCCACATTGTAGGTTGCTGACTTAACAGGGGTGATTTAACAATGAAACAGTCCGACGTCTGTGTGATATTTTCTTCACCAAATTGGCGGAGATTGGTTACCCGGCCTGGTAAACATACAAAAAAAGCTATTGACCATGGCCCATAGAAATAGTGGATTTAGCGGATGATGATTTACTTTTCTGTCTTTTTTGGGACCCGGCATACCTAGACAGTTGGTCGACCAGGGGGCTATGCATGCCAATCACTACACTGATCCACCAGTTGTAAGGCCCAAGAACTGAGCAGGGCATATCATTAAGCGATCACAGGCTATGGGTGGAACAAATGTAAATGGGGGTATCAATCAACAAGACACAGTATAGAGAGTCCCTCCCCCCAGTAAGAGAATGGTTGAAATATTGCCCTTGTGCAGCAGATGGGGCCTAAAATGCAAATCGGATAACCGGATAACCATTGAAATCAACATACATAGCTACACCCCCTAAATATCACACGCCATAGTCAAGTGATGTCAAGTGCAGGTTCAATCATCAAACCCGGACCTCGGGTAATTTGATGCTGCCATGGTAGATGTGAAATTTCGCTGCCTTGGACACTATTCTAGCCAAGTCTTACACGTCACTGAGGCAGTGGTGGATAGTACAGTACCATGTCACTGCATGTTAGTGGTACAAGGCGAGGCCCCCCAGATACAGCCCTAGCTATAAAAAATAGTAATAACTTGGCCAACTATGATCTATGGGGGACATAACATTATATACTTATATAATGATATGGGTATGGATCAATACCTATTAATACCATTTTTAGGGGGATGAACATCCATAAATCCCAGCTATTTTGATGTGAACTACAGGGGTACAAGGTTTTGACACACTGCCATATAATGATATAACATGATATAACTATGGTTTTCATGGGATGTTTTTATGGGCTATATCAACCAGCAAGAAACATCCTTTGGGGCCTCACCATGATGCCAACTAACTCGCCATCGCGATGGAACATCACTATTTTTATAGGTAACCGGGATATATGTACTATATATATAATTCTGGTATATATTGGATAATTATGGGATCTACATAACGATAGATAATCACTATTTTTATAGGTAAATCACCGAACAAATAAATGGTCCATTTTCCCATAGCTTTTTGTATGTTTACTGTAGGGTACTGAGGGAATCGCACTCCAAACAGGTGATCAACTGATCAACGAGTAACTCTATGATCGCAGCTTTGCCCGCAGCATTGTCGCTGGAGAAAGCTGGTAGCAAATCACAGCATTGTCGTGTGTTTGATCATGGGGTCCCCAAAATTGGAATGACAATGATTGACCAGTGCTTAAATAAGGGTAAGCTATTTTCAGATGAATCCACATAGTCATCAAAAGATGGGCCTTGGGTCATTTAAATTTTTTTCGAGGCCTGAGACCGAGTGTACCCTTGGGAGCTTACCCATTTTTAGCATCTCCATTTCAAAAGGCTAATCATCTACAAATGATGAATTTGCTCTCCTGCTATGCTTGTTTACAAAAGCACCTAGTTACAGAGACGTGCCAGTCATGGGGTTGTGGACATCCCAAGCCTTATCTACCACTCCAATGAGGTGAAAGAGTCAAATGGTATCTCACCATTATTTTTCCGAGGAAAAGCACACATTTATGGCAACAAAGAGTGACTTCAAATGGTACTCCTAGCATTTTTGCGGGCAAAAACGCAGAACATTTGGTGGTACAAAACACCCGCACCCGCACTGTGGATGTCGCTGTGATGAAGCGCAGCCTGGAGGATGGAGGTGCAATGATGGGAAAACACATGCCATGAACGAGCAAAATGCACCATTGGTAATTTAACAGTTTTGCAATTGAACATGTTCCATTCATAGTTGATTGATGTTGATTTAGCTATTAAAGATGGTGATTTTCCAGTTCGCGAACTGTGACAGATTACCAGAGGGTACACCATTGGTCACAAAAGTTGGCAGAAAAGACATTGATACATGTCGGATAAGTCATGTTGTCAATGGGAATTTCAGGATCCTAAAATGGAGGTACTATACCATATAAGGCCATATTCTATGGGGATGTTCCCTTACATAGGCCTTACATAGGCCTTATATATATGGTAGGTACCTCCAATTTAGGATCCTGAAAATCCCATTGATGTTGAGCCACTTTGTCCTGCAGATGAACGGTCTGGTATCCAGCTTCTGTTTGGTAAAGATACCTCCAGTTGTCCATCTGAACATCATCCAGTAAAAAACCATCAGGCAATGGTATACGTACCACTTCTATACCCATTGTGACCCCAAACATCTGATGCATCACCATTTGGGCGTAAACATCGGATCAAATGGGATAGAAAAACCATCCAACTGACCATCTGTTTGAGAGTTGGAGATCATCTCGAGAGGAACGCCTGGAAGAACTATCCTTTCATATCCTTTCCACTTTTGGATACCAACTGGAACCTTTCAAGTTGATCGGTGCCTCACAATTCTTTGGCACGCTTAGTCATGATTTTGGCACGCTTCAATTCCATAATGAACAGATATTTTCATAGATTTTCTGGGTATGTCGGTGCTCTGTTTCTGCTACTTATCGATTTGGAACCTATGCATGTGCGTAAGCTGCTTCGAAATGAGCTAATCCCGCCTGGAAGACTGGTTTTTACTAGGTCATCTTGGGGTTATCTACTCCGAAAACAAACATGAAAAGTCACCTGGCCTTAAAAGCTTTTAACGCTGTAAAATGTGGTGAGGCCTCTCAGTGATGTTTGTTGGTTTATAAACCCAATGAGTGCTACAGTTATATGATGTTATATTCCCACAAACCCAAATGTTCACCAAGTTGTAAGAAACCGCTTCTCTATCTTATGGCCATTTCAGGAACGGAAAATTGGAGGTACCTACCATATATTATATATAGGTCTATATATCCATAATTATCCATATATCATATATAAGGTCTATCTATATATATGGGACTCTGAATTTTTGGGAATGTCTCCACAACATATGGCCAAACATATGGTACATGATGGTAGCTCCAGGTATTGCTAGGCCCCTGGGATCCTTTGAAATCCCCTGGGATCCTGTGGGTCGCTGCTAGGGGATGCTGAATTGCCCAAGCCGTCTTCGCCCGTCTTCGCCTTATTCAAGCCCAGGCGCGTAGGCGCGTTGCGTTTGTTACCGGCAGCTGGAAGGTTGGCCATGCCAACAGCTGCGTAAAATGATGTAAATTGCTATATTACTATATGTATGGTGATCTAACCATCAACAAAAATACAACTATATGGTGATTTAACATGATTTAAGCATCAAACACATGGTGATTTAAGCGACAAAAACATGGTGGTATGATCGGGATGAATCATCCTCAATACATTAACCCGACCCGGATCGCGATCGCGACGTCACGTGAATGGTGGGGATTGGGGTAAGTATCCCAGAGAGTGGTCGAATTTTTCAGCGAATGAGTCTATCAAGATCTATGGAAGATATGGAAATCCATGGATGGCACCAGATTTAGAAAAAAGGGGGGGAGGAATCTGTGTGAATATGTGTGAATAAACATGGGATGTTACCGGCCAACATAGGGATGGTCATAGCAAAGATGTGGGTCTTCAGCACAGATGTGGTGAAACACCAGGACAGCGAACACAGCGGGGATTGAATCTCGAATTGAGCAGCAACCCCAAGAGAGGCATTGAACTATCAACCGGTTTAGGTCGTTTCCATTGCAAACATGTTTCTATGTTCTAAGCTACAAAAGCAGGAAATGAAGCATCAAACTATGAAGATCTTCGGCTTTATCACAAAAAAAAGTGAATTTGAGCAAGAAACTTCTGGATGTCACAGTCAAACACATTTGGTTTATGTCCATAGACATTTGATCAAACAATTTTTGGAGGACGGTGGGCAGAGGATTTTCATCCAGAAATTTGATGAAATAACCCATCTGGCCATGTCTTGCCAAGGTGCGACCTCATTGTACAATTTTGAGCGTAAACCCACATTACAATAATTGTTTTAAATAAACCACCTACAATGTGGGGCCCCCCAGTTATAAGTTGGTTTATAAGCCCCAGCAACTATAGTTATAAGTACCATAAACCATAGTTATTGGAGTTATGAACCAACTTAGCTATCTAGGGGGCCCCACTTTGTATAAATTTTAATGTGGGTAAAACAATGCCATGTTTACCATCCCCCAGTCATCACCATTTTTATACATAGGTGGTGTTTGCACCATGCCCAGAGGCCGATGATCACCGACCTGACGAAGGGGCCCATGGCTGAGGTGGCCCGCAGGCCCGGTGCTCCATAGTTGGCTAAGTTGCTTTGTAACATTTGGTAACTTTGGTAACTAGGGGGATTAAAAATTGGTGAGATTATTGATAACCTAACCCAAAGTTACCAATAATTTATTAACCTTGGTAACATAAATAGATTTTTTGCATGATATAGCTATGGTATGCTAAGGGGATTACCAACTGACATCACTGGGGGCACCACACGTTTTTGCTGGGAATCTTCCATCTACAAGTGGGGTATACCAGGGTTACTAAGTGGGATTCACCTTCTCGAGCACGGGAAAGTCGTCCAATCATGGGAAATTCTTGAAAATTATTGGAGAAGTCTGGGTAAATTACCGTGTTAAGCAACATTTTCACCAACATTTTCACCCACATTCTCACATTCTCCAACCAAACTTCGGATTTGAGGGGTTTTTAACAACAAAGATTGGGATCGAAGAGGCAACGATGGTCTTGTTGTCATTTATCTTGGGCTGTCTGCACACCCACATGATCAACATTCTACAAAAAAGATAAGCTTTCTTGTCCCAATATCTCACCTAGCAGGTGAGTTTTTTTGGCGATACTCGATACTCAAAAACCAATGTGGATCATTAGATCATATTATATATATATATATTAGATCCTAATCCTCACTGCAGATATGGATTTCTTTAAGCCTTGTCGCATCTAAAAGCCAACAAGTTCGACTTGTTCGACTTTCAACAGATCTCCAATACTTCAACCAGCATCGCTTGGGGTGACTGAAAACCTGATGGGCTCCTGCTGGTTACCACCAGATATATTCCTTTTAGGTTATTAATACAGTGATCCGCAATCCCATGGAACATCAAATCGCCCTTGAAATTGAAGTATTTGAAGTCGTCAGGAGTTGTTTTTCCACTCTTTACTGGACACCCCAAAAACCCATGTTCCTGGGATGCAAAATGCTAACTGGGCTTCCCAATTCTCCAAGAAACTCGAGTTGCAATAGCATCATACTGATTCTAACATTCATAATACGCATGATTCACAATATCATTCATAATTTATTCATAAATACTTATTATCTTTATTTATCTGTCATCATCCCACAAATTATTCACAATACCATTGCCATTCATAATATGGTTATATATATATATATGTATATATATATATGTTTCATAATCCCACAATCCTTGTGATATATTTCTCCCATACATCTCGTCTCGCTCCGAAAAGTCGTCAGCACCAGGATGTGTCCGGAAGCGCCTCCCAAGCCCGTGGGTCAGTTGGATCGGTGAGCCTCAGAGGATGACAGCGTGGTGGGGAAATCCTACAGGATTTCAGTGGGACAATCCATGGGATATATATATATGTGATAATTCATCTGACAAATTATGTGATATATGTGATATTACGGGATTTCCTACAGGAACAAAAACCTCTGGTAAACTAACAGTTTGCTATTGAAAACGCACATTCAGTTCGTTGATTTACAAAAAAAACATGGTGAGTTTCAATAGCTTCTTAAATTACCAGAGGGCAAAACAAAGATGGCAAGCTGGAAAATCCTAAGGGTATTTCAATGGGAACATCATCTATAATTAAGTTATATTAAATGGATTTTCAAGCACGCCATGTTTGATGGAGGATAAACAAGTCTTTCCGGAAATATGTAGTTCTATGAATTCCCCGTTTAGGAGAACTGAACTCGTAATAGGATAGGTGATGTATTGATTCTGCCAGATAAGGTGTTGCTATGTGTTGCTGTTTAATGAGAGGTTTAGGATCATTCCGAAGGGCAGAAACCTCAAAAAAGATCTGGTCATGGCTTCGACATCAGATTCCCAGCCCAAAGCATCTAGTTTTGAGCACAGGTACCTAACCATTGGGTCGTTCGGTTATACGACCTGATTTTTCATACCGGGTTTAGGGAATTGTTACAGTATAACTACAATATTACCCTAAATAGAACCATGATACCAATATAGTGTAACCAATTGTTACGGTATAACCATGATAAATATAACCCTATTGTTACAGTATACTGTATCCCTTAGGGTATTGTTTTGATACAATCTATGATACCATGGGATAGGAGTAGCGCTCAGCCGACCACCTCCTCCGGCCCAACAAACAGTGCGTAGCCATGAAATTGATTTGGCTCTACTTAGATAATTTTCCTAAGTAGTAAGCACCTTTTTGATATGTTTAATTACATTTTCGAACGTTTAGTTCTAACCGGTTCTACTATTCGAGAGAATCGGGCTTTAAGTTTCTTTGACCAGCAAGCATGAGTATAAGTCATTAATCCGCACATATATTAGACTAGATTGGATTAGACTAGATAAACTTTTGAACTAGATTAGATAGATAGGTGATAGGTGGATAGATCGATAGGAAGATGAGACTAGCCTAGCTTAGATTTCGAGATCGTAAGATCATACTATAGACGCTAAACATTTCGCTCACCGCTATGGCATGTGCTGCGCTGAGAGGCAGGGAAAAATCCATGCGACAGTTATCTTCCCAATTTTAAGTGCCCAAAAGACGATGCAAAGCAAATTCACCACAAAATGGATTTCAAGCAACTTGAAGCAAGATTTTGAATGCGGAGAATCAACCAAGCATGCAGGTTTAAGAACCAAAGGATTGATCCTTATCAAAATCTACGCTCTAATTTTCCAGTACTAAACCAGGTGTTCGAGGAAATCCATACGGATGTTTGTGGGATACCTTTTTCAGCATTTCAGCGTTGGGGGACCACAGATTTTGGCATCCTTTTTGAGTAGTAAACCGTTTTTTTACAGGGAACCAGACAAAGATGTACCCCTCTGGTTTCATCCAACATGCTGGAAAATCCACCATTGAGTTCGATGATATTTTTTTTTGACATCCAAGCAATTTTTTGGGGGCATTTTCCAGCCATGTTTGATATGTTTGATGAAACCAGAGGGATCCAGAGGCCAATTTTTTCAGCCATGGGATGACCGAAATGTTATTTTTACTTGGTGGCGAACTAGCCACGGAGAAAGTAATTGGGTTAGCAAAACCCAAGTGATTGACATGGGATAAGGAGCGGGTTAATCCACTGAAATAACTGGGGTGAACTAAGCCACAAAAACGATCCGTGGGTTGGATGCGCCACCAAGTAGGGGACTTACTAACTAGAGCTATTCACCAATTTCTGGATAGTCAAGTCTTCCAGCCACTCCGTTTGAACGACTTATTTGTGCAACATTTGGCTCAGGTGGTTTTGTTGTGTACCAAAAAAAGCGCCAGAATCCAAGCTCATTCTTCCAACAATTGTCTTGGTCATGAACTTCTGCCATTTTCAATCCTACACATTCTGTCTCATCATTTCAATCCAACAATCCATTCTCAAATTCTCAAGAGCTGCAAAAACTCAGGCAGAAATCCATAGAAATCAGCCCCTGCAGCAACAGACGTGGCCTAAAAGGCGAGCCGCTTCGCGGGCATCCAGGTGCAGCAGCCACGTCCCGAAGGCGCTGGCAGCGATGAAAATTAGCCCCATTTTTTAGGTTTGGGTTCATAAAATGGGCTCAGTATCCACAAAAAATATCAAAAAATATCAAATAACCACGTTTAAGTACGGGCGAATGACAAAAAAACGTGAACTATTGAAGACACAGCCAGTAGTTTTTCATGCACGGAAAAAAAACACTCCTAAAAAGTGATGTTAATGAAGAACGTAGCCATGTAGCCGCGACACCACGCTGCGGGAGTATGAGAAAGGTGCTTGTTTGCATGTGGCTATGGATCAATACCTATTAATACCATTTTTAGTGGGATGAACATCCATTTACAAGCTATTTTGATGTTCCCCAGGGGTACAAGGTTTTGACACACTGCCATGTTTATTCATGATTTTCTGATTGTTCAATGGATTGGTTTAAGGGAAAATTTACAGGAAACCATAGATTTTCCCATTAAATATGGGGCTTTCCTGTAAATTTTCCCTTAATCCAATCCATTGAATTGTTGATTGAAAGACAATTCTGACTGGTGGCTGTGAACAGTTTTATTTTCTATCTCCAGAACTGGGATGCACATCTAAGCAAAGCAAAGAATCATCTTTTTGTATTCGAATTATGTTACTTGTAATATCCATAAATGATAAAATTCCCCCCACAAAAAATCACATCCCAAAAAAATTGTATGGAAATCTATCCCAAAGTATTCGGATGGATATGGATGGATCCGACAGTATCTCCTAGAATTGGTTGATGGGAACATCTACCCTCTGGTAAACTAACATAACTATGGAAAATCACCATTTTTAATGGGAAAATCCACTATAACTGGCCATTTTCAATAGCTATGTTAAATTACCAGAGGGTAGAGGAAACCCACAAATTTTTCTGGTTGCGGGTTCCTTAACCAGCCAGTTTCTGGTTGAGATTTTCCCCAAGCAATCCATTGATCATCATTGATCCATTGTGAACAATGCATTCTTCGGTGGTTGAAGCCACCATTTCTGATGGTTAAGCCATGGTCTCCTTTAATGTTAGTAAAGCTAGTAAAGCAATAGTAAACCATCCCCCAAAGTAACTCTAAACCATCAATCTTGATGGCTGGTTTATGAGCTTATGACATTGCTTTACTAACATCAGTTTTTTTCAACTTTTCCCATGCTTTTTGGGTAAAGCCAAGGTTTCCTGTAGATGTTCCCAACTAAAATCCATGGATTTGGGCGAAAACTCCAATGCTTTGCCAATTTTGAGAATCATGTCTGATGGTGAAAAACCATGGTTTCCCAACCTGTAGGATTTTTGTCCCAACTTTTTCCAAGTTTTCGCAAGCCAACTCCAGCCAACTCAGAGCGCAGGGGATCTTGCTACACCTAAAAATGGGTGCTGCCAATGGCGTCGGAGACCTTGGAGATCGACATTTTGACTCATTTTGGGCCTAGGGGAAGTGGGAAAAAGTGTTTGATACCCTCTGGTAATGACTAACCATACCTATTGAACATCACCATTTTTAACGGGTCAATCAGCTATAAATGGTAATTTTCAATAGTTATGTTAGTTTACCAGAGGGTAACGATAGTGGATAAATACTAGGAAGATAGTGGTGGTTGAGAATCGTTGTTGCCTGGTAATAGGAACATAGTGTACGATTTATCGAGTCATAAGCATAGTGAGTGGGTAAGAAGTGATTGCTTGGGGGATTAATAGATAATAAGTTGTTAATAGCTATAGCCAAGGTTAGTTCATCCGTTGATGGGATAAGCCACGAATTGGGGACTGACGATCACCAGGGGTAACAACCACCAGTTAGGATCTGTCAGATCCGAAAAATTGGGGGAATGAGAAGGGTCGATTGAAATGCATCCCTTTCATGATGGAGTTAGACCATTACTGGTTGGTGGTTTAAGGAACCATGGAATGGATTATGACTTTCCATGAAAAGTTGGGAATTTCATCATCCCAACTGACGAACTCCATCATTTTTCAGAGGGGTAGGTATACCACCAACCAGATTACTTAGTACAATATTGAAACCCAAAGTGACTTGGGGATCCCCCTTTTTTAGAATTTTAAGAACCCCCCATCCAAAACCCCCAGAAATCGTGGTCTGGTCGATTTACACCCAAACATGGAATGTGGGTGTATAATATTAGTGATAGAATGAGTAAATCAATATCTAATACTATGGGATATCACTAGTACTAAAGTATCCGTAAGGATATCCGAATACCATCGAATACCAATATTAGTGATACTATGATTATCTTTATCTTTATAAATACTAGTCTGTTTGGTGGTTCATACGTTGGGAATAATAACCCCAGCTGACTTTCATATTTTTCAGAGGGGTTGAAACCACCAATACCTGTAATATCTAATACTATGTTTTTTAAAAAATGATATTAGTGAAGTCCCCAAAGAGATATCAGATGTCTCCTTCGAGCCCATCATTTCCCCATGGGGAATCATAGAATCTAGATGGATTACATAGATTGAATTGGGCCTGGGAGCATTAAGTGTTTTTTTTTTGTCCTGGAATGAAATAGTCCTAATAGTGATCCCACAGAAGATGATGCACATCCATGTGGATGGTTCCTGGTTTAAAATTCTTCAACAAAGATGGTGATATGCAAACCCATGATGCTTCATTCGCACATAGAAAAACCCGTTTGGAGGCTATTGAAACTCATCATAAATTCCGCGGTATCCCACATTTCCACAACCACACATTGGGGATGGTTTACCCTTCTGGATCCAACATTTTCCCAACCTACACATGACAATTTATGATCAAAGAAACAATGAAGATAATCCCTATGATGAGTTGTCACAGGTTTTATAACATCATATTGATCATCTTTATGTAGGTTTGATCAGAAATGCAAGTTTACTGTAATCACAACTTCTGGCTTTAGCGACCAATATTGTCGATTTAGGCATCAACATTGGTACTTAAATTATTTAGCCAGGAAACATCTGGAATTCAGCGGCTTTTTTTTTGGGAATGACTGATGACTTGGATGATGACTTAGGGTCTGAGTCCTGGTCCATGTTGGGAAAGTACCATCTGGTTATTTAATATAGCCATGGAAAATGGCCCATAGAAATAGATGTTTTTTTGATGATTTACCCATTAAAAATGCTGATTTTCCATGGCTACGTTAAATAACCAGAGGGTATATAAAACCTAAAAGCCACTCGAGACGGGTAAATGAACTTCCCAACTCTGAAAAACCACCAGGCTTTTGATGCATCCGTATATCAATCATCTCGTATCGTTGTCCGAAGGTAAATCAGGGGTGCCTCCTATTGCTTCTCATCCCTTGTAAAGAAAATCATGACATTCCCTGTGACCAAAATTATGGTTTCCCCCATTTTTTTGGCTCATATCTCAGCATATCTCCATCATTCGGTGTCCAAAAGAAAAAAGTTTCATGGTTTTCCAACATGTTCCAGCCAAAATCATCCAAATACCTATATACATATCAATATATACATATCTATATGTACATATCTATATATATACATATCCCATTCTATCCACATTCTGGTTCACAGGGTGTTGCTCAAATCAAGGTTCCGGCGCCCTGGGCTGTATTGGTCTGCGAGACTCCGTGCTGTGACCAGCACAACTTTCTGGTGGAGAATAACAAGGTCAGCGACCAATGCCTTCCTGTGGTTACTATAAATGCTACCCAAGGGCTTTGAAAATGCTAGGAAAATCTGAGCATCTTCAAGTTGAGTGATATATCCTCATTTTTCCACATTTTCCCTCAAGTTTTTCCCCAATAACATGTCACTTAAATGTGGGGCATACCCCATTTTCCGACCCCACTGGTGGCTGGAGGATGAGGGCAACTTTTTGGTGAAACCCACGGTGTTTTTGTGGCACATCTTTTTCTTTGTTAGTCATGCCCAGTGGGAAGATGTTTACCTTCTGGTTATGGTGATTGAATGGGTTTTTATGGTGATTTATGGTAATTTACGGTGATTTTCCATGGGATGTAATGGGATTTACTCTCTGGTAAACTAACAAATCGCTATTGAACATGGCCATAGAAATAGCTGATTGACCTATTGAACATAGTGATTTTCCAGTTCGCGAACTGTTAGTTTACCAGGCCGGGTATGTAAGAATTCCATATTTTCAGAACATCCTCAGCCACATGGGTTGGTCTGAACATGAGTTTCCAGTCCAGTGGTATTGGGTGGAAACCACCCCCTAAATCAGACTAAGCCATATCACTTTTTTTCACTGGTGTCCTATTCATTTACCCTCCGGTAAACGTTTACATAACGATTGGAAAATCATCATTTTGAACGGGTAAATCAACTATTTCTATGGCCATTTTCAATAGTTTTTTGTATGTTTACCAGGGGGTAGGTCTGGATTTTCCTTCCCGCGCTAGGTGAGCCGTGTTGGCTTGGCATTGGAGACTTCCTTCGAGGAAAGCAAGGACCTCAACTCCAAGGCAACGGGGATGGGATGATGAGATGATGGGATCACCATAGCTTTTCACCGTTGGGGAGTGATGATAACCATAGCTTTTATGGTTCTTATTATATAATGGGGGTTTATCATGGTTTATATGGGGTTATATGGGTTTATAATTTTTCATTGCACTGTGCTCGAGACCTTTCAATGAGTCGCCTGCTTGCAGCCACCAGCCAAAAACTGACAAGTTGTCAGCAGCCAATGGTAAACACATACCCCTTCAGTTCACTTACATTGAAGTGCCTACTCGGGTTTATAATGGTTATATATGTTTATATAGCTTTATTTTATAACTCTATCATAAATGCACAGAATTCACCATCGAATTCACCGTTTATGTGAAGGGGTAATGTCTTTATATGTGATGCGGTTGTTATGTTGATATGGCGTTCATGAATCTAAACCAATATATGTTTAATATGGCTTTATTTTTATCGATCTAAACCAACGAGTTCGATAAATATCTACCATAAAAGCATACTTAATCTAGTTGCGCTGAGGATGAAACTAGTGATCAATGGTGGCTGGTGAATTATGATAATTGGTTTCTATCAACAAATGATTCAATTATATTATGACAATGATGGTACTATAGTGCTTACCCGCAATTGAAAACTAGTTGTAAATATCCTCATAGTAACTAATAAGCTATAGTGATATAACCTATGTATAGTGATAAAGATGGGAATAGCCCATTTGTTGGGCTTGCAATGGAACACCTGGGTTTGCAATCAAAGTTTTGGGGTTCAACGTCTAAATGGTTCAATTCGATAGATCTATATCTATATCTATATCTATATCTCTCTATATCTCTCTATATATAAAAATAGATCCATAATTGTGAATTAGGAGAACTAGGGTTTTTTCTAGTGGATATCTCTATACAAATTGGATGTGTTTGGAAAAAAAAACGATCCCCGGTCTCTACCCTCTGGTAATTTAACATAGCTATTGAAAATGGCCATAGAAATAGTGGATTTACCCATTAATAGCATGGTGGATCTTTCCATAGCTATGTTAAATTACCAGAGGGTAACTCTTATTTATGATACTTAGTAATACTTATAACTATTTATAACTATAAATGGGGTTTTGAAACTATTTATGATACTTATGGTACCCTCTGGTAATTCTTATAGTCTATTCATGGGGTTTTGAAACCAACTTGTTGGTTTTCACGAAGCACCAGGGCTTCAGCCGCATGGAGATCGTCTGTGCCTCTGAGCTGGACTCCTATCGCATCAACCGCTGGGCCAAGGTGCGGTTCCACAGTTCCACGAACGAAAAACGACCTGGGAAAAGTGGTAAAACCATAGGAAAACCATAGGAAAATGGGAAAATCATAGGAAAACTATAGGAAAACCATAGGAAAATGGAGGTTTACCCTCTGATAAACTAACATAACTATGGAAAATCACCATTTTTAATGGGTAAGTCAACTATAAATAGCCATTTTCAATAGCGATTTGTTAGATAGCTCTGATAAACTAGTATATTTCACGAACCTAGTATAAATTTATATTCCCACTAGCTATTGCTAGCTATTAATAGTGGTTAGTAATGGGTACACTCTGGTAAACTAACAGTTCGCGAACTGGAAAATAACCATCTTTCATAGGTGAATCAACTATTTTGAAAATGCCATTTTCAATAGCTATGTTAGTTTACCAGAGAGTACTATGTTTTAAACTGATTTGAATCGTTAAAAGTCAGGACATCTTTTGGGTTTGGTCAGAATTTGGGATTTAGATAGAAACGCTGGGTTTGCTTCATGGTTTTGATGTTCCGGGAAATCCTTCATGCCCGGGGAATCTACTTAAGCGAAGCAAAGTTATTGTGATACCAAAACCCTGCCTGTTTGAATTGTTTTGATCAAACTTCTATTTTCGGATAGCAATGATTTCAACTAATTATCCAACATAAGTTTATCCCAACATTTTAAGCAACATTATCCAACATAATTCTTATTTACACTATCCCAAATTTTCTCCACGTAAGAAGTATTATTTGCCGAGCAATATTTCTCATACTATTATCTGGGTTAAATATAGTCAACCCACAAACAATTATCCCAAACATACTGTGGATGTAATCCCATTTATTTGTATATATATATATATTTACAGTGTTTTATCAGGATGGGGCCCCCAAGATAGCGTTCAGTTGCCTTATAAGTGGCTTAGCTATGGTTTATGGTACTGGGTAAATTATAACGACCTCACTGCGACCTCGCTGGAAATCATAGTTAAGGGAAATCATCCCCAAATGGCCGCAAGATTCAGGTTAGTGAAATATTATAATTTATCCAGATATACTATCCATATAGTATCCATATTTGATATGATCATTAATCCCATTGTTATCCCATTAAATCAACTATAAGTGGCTGAATGCTATGGTTTACCGTAGATATAACTATAGTTAATGGAGGTGAAATTGGTTTATAAACCAACGTTCACATCACTGGGGGGCCATCCATCTGAATGAAAACCTTCAACAAAATAAGCCCAGTTTTTTCAGCCTATGTTTGGCAACATAAATCCAAAGCCATAAATGATACCCTCTGGTTATTTAACATAGCCATGGAAAATCCCTGAACTAAATGGAGGTATTTAGCTGGGAAAATCATCTATTTCTATGGGCCATTTTCCATGGCTATGTTAAATAGCCAGAGTGTAATCTATACATATCGCATCATATCCCATCTATGAGCATTAGATTAGAGATTAATTCACTTCCATTAAACCATACATATCTCTCTGTTCTCAATCTCAGGGTGGACCCGGCCAGGATGAATCAGATGCACAGCTGGCACAGCGGATGGAGGCGGTTTTAGGGGTAGATTTCAATGGTAGTCCTATTTTAGGACACATTTGTTAGGATGATTGTAGTTAATGGGATATTATGTAGATATAAAAAACAATCTACGAAATGCATATATGATGTAAGAATCAAAGTAGTAGTCAGACATAATGATATATTTATATATGATATAGTTAGGATAAGAACCTAGGGGTTTGTCAACATATTTCCATGGTCATGATTATATATCTCCATGAAGGTTTCCTAAAGTAGGGGTACCCCCAAATCATCCAAGTCATGGATGACCATTTTAGTATTGAAAAAATATGGTTTTTGGGAATCCATTTTAGGAAAACCTCCATATATCCAATATCCAATAGTTTTTTTTTCCGGATAATAACAAGGGGTGTATTGGCAAGAATTTCAGGACCCCAAAATGGAGCTACTATACCATATTTTTGGGAATATCCCCTGAAATTTAGCACTGAATCATACACCTTATCTTATTGGCTTGGTACCTCTAAGCCTTGGTACCTGAAATGACGACCATTGAACTCCAATCCTATCTGGTTGGTGGTGACTGGAACCATGGAATTTTATGACTTTCCATATATTGGGAATGTCATCATCCCAACTGTTACTCACTCCATCATTTTTCAGAGGGGTGGCGAAAAACCACCAACCAGATTATTAACCAGATTATTAACCATCATTAATCACTATTAATCATCATTAACCACCATTAAGGCAGATAGAAACCATCCATTATTAACCATAACCATAACCATAACCATAACCACCATTATTATCCATTATTAACCATGTTTTTTTTGATTTCACGTTTTCGATCTTTTCGATCTGTTCGCTGGGTAACTCTAGTTCCATCCTCCTATCCCCAAAAATGGCAATTTTTTCACAGACTACATGCTGTTTGTTAAAGCAGCTTTTTTCTAAGGGACCCTTTTGTTAATACCCTCTGCTAAACTAACATAACTATGGACAATCACAATCTTTAATAGGTAAAACAACTATTTCAATGGGCCATTTTCTATAGCTATGTTAGTTTACCAAAGGGTATTACATAAGATGATGGGACTATTTTGTTTCGCGGATTTAATACATCCAGAGTCAGCATCGAAAGTCATGAAACGGCCAAAGTGGCGTATCCCTTGAGGAGTATCCAATGAAAACGGAGTTTTAGCCACATAAATTGGAACAACCACGGGTTTCCGCCATTCAAAGGAGATTTGCTACAACCAAATATCATTTTTTGCTTAACCAGAAGCAGAAGGATATGATCCTGGTGTGACTTGGTGCACTTTATCCTATGAATACGATGTTTTTTAAACGTAGTACTAATGGTGGGTCACCATAGTGGACCATAGTTAGCTAACTTGGTTTATAAGTATGATGATAACTGGGGTTTATCGTAGTTATAATATGTTATAACTATAGTAAGATGGGTTTACAAACCAACAAACATCACTGCCGGGCCCAGCTTGTACTGCATGCCATTTTTGGCTTCAGCGAAATTTGATGCACGAATCGGAGTCCCGTGGTTGATAGAGAGTCCCTCTTCAAAAACTGTAGAATCAGTAGATCAATGGATTGGTTTAAGGGAAAATTTACAGGAAAGCCCCATATTTAATGGGAAAATCTATGGTTTCCTGTAGATTTTCCCTTAAACCAATCCATTGAGTAGAGGACCTACTAGTAGAATGGTCGTATTTCTACTAGAAACAAAACACTAGTTTGTATTGCCATGTTTGGCCATATTTATGAATCCTAGAATCACGGACTGTAGATACCGACTAGATATGAGTTGAAAATATATCACCAGATTAATTCCCACTAATGTTACTACTAGATTATTACTAATATTTGGGATGGTTTAGTATTGGGTTTACCATATTACGAGTTCGCTGCAACCAATCCCGCATATCCTTTGACATGCTCAAATCCCTGCGCAGGGGTTCAGTTTTTTACTTTCCAAAACAACAAACACGGTAAACCCTAAAACCTAAAACCCAAAACCCTAAATTCCCAACAGCAGGGCCTGTTGGGTTTCAATCTCTAGGGCTGGGGCTGGCTCGCGGGGACTTGCAGCCTTCAAAATCCGGAATGGAACCCTGGAACCCTGGAACCCTGGAACCTTGGAACCCTGGAACCCTGGAACCCTGGAACCCTGGAACCCTGGAACCCTGGAACCTTGGAATCCTGGAAAATCTGGAATCCTGGAATCCTGGAATCCTGGAAAATCTGGAACCCTGGAACCCTGGAACCCTGAAACCTTGGAAGCCCGGAACCCTGGAACCCTGGAACCCCGGAACCCTGGAACCCTGAAACCCTGGAACCTTGGAACCCTCCGACCGTGGAACCCTGAAACCTTGGAACCTTGGCACCCAGGAACCCTCAAGGATTCTGGAACCCTGCAACCTTGGAACCCTGGAACCTTGGAACCCTGGCGACCGTGGAACCCTGAAACCTTGGAACCTTGGCACCCTGGAACCCTCAAGGATTCTGGAACCCTGCAACCTTGGAACCCTGGAACCTTGGAACCCTGCAACCCTGCACACCTGGCACCCTGCTGGGACCCTGGAACCCTGAAACCCTGGAACCCACCCTTGGGAAACCCTTCTGAAAACCCTGGTGGGACCCTGGTACCCTGGTACCCTGGAACCCTGAAACCTTGGAACCCCGGAACCCTGGAACCCTGGAACCCCGGAACCCTGGAACCCTGAAACCCTGGAACCTTGGAACCCTGCGACCGTGGAACCCTGAAACCTTGGAACCTTGGCACCCTGGAACCCTCAAGGATTCTGGAACCCTGCAACCTTGGAACCCTGGAACCTTGGAACCCTGCAACCGTGCACGCTGCATGCAATAAAATAAACTATAAAACTTCCAAACCCTGAACCCTAATGCGCGCTGCGCGCACGGCGTGCCACACACACATAAACCCTAAAACTTTCAAACTTTAAACCGTAACGCGTACTGCGCGCACAGCCTGCCATAGAGGTAAACGGTTAAACTTTCAAACGCTGCGTGCCATAGAGACAAAGCCTAAAACTTTCAAACGCTAAACCGTAAAGCAGGCTGCGCGCGCTGCGTGCCATAGAGTGCTCCTCAAAAGTGATTACATGTCATACTTTAGTGGCATCCTCCAAATTCATTAGTCAGCCTTTGTTAATCCAGGGCCCATTTTACACTTGTCATCTTCTTGGTCGTGGCGCCATTTCAGGATCACACTGATGACCTAAGCTTTGGCCTTAACTATTATGCAGGCAAGCGGCATCAGCACGCTATGGTATTGGAAGACACAGGGTTTGCCCGTAGACCAGCCAAAAAAAAACGATTTTCCACACTGAACAATTTTATTTAACACATTTAGAATAGGAGCTCCGCCTGATTCAGATTTCATCACTTAAAAGGTACCCATGCCTGACTAGCCTTCATGACTTAAAGCGTAACCACACCCGACTTAAGGGAACCATGTCTGACTAGCTTTCATAATTAAGAGGTACCCACCCACGCCTGACTTAACAGAACCCATGCCTGACTAGCCTTCATAATTAAAAGGTACCCATGCCCCTGAAGTAAGGGAACCATGCCTGACTAGCCTTCACAATTAAAAGGTACCCACTGGAACCATGCCTGGCTAGCTTTAATGACTTAAAAGGTAACTACACCTGACTTAATACCTGATTTACTGGTTTTGCCTGATTTTGGAAAAACGCAGGGCCGGAATTTGCAGGGCGCGGGCCGGAATTTGCCGGGCCCGGGCCGGAATTTGCCGGGCTGGGATTTTGGGGTCGTGCCTAAATAGGATTTTTGCAAAAATCGTGCATGACTGAAGGGAACCATGCCTGACTAAACATCATACCAATCATCCCAAAAGAATCCAATAATTCCAGCAAGTGATGCCTGACCAATCCCTGCGTCATAATAAACCGTCTGCCCCTCCCCACCCAATAATGAACACACGGAATAGTATTTTGTATTTAGTGGGTATTTAGTATGAGGGTGCGAAACTTCCTCCTTGGTTAAAAAAACTAAATTGGAAAACATTTTTTAAATAAGATCTAACTAAAATATTGCCAAAATTGGATTCCGAAGCTTCCCCCTGACATTAAATTGAAAACATTTGTTTTAAAAAATGAACTTTATATTTCAAAACCGATTGAATTCCTATTCAAAATCTAACTCAAATCTTGCCAAATTGGATTTCGAAGCTTCCCCTTATATTAAATTGAAAGCCTTACTAATCCCCACCTCCTTTTACTAAACGTACCCTAAATACTAAAATATTACATTGATTCCTTTTACATCCTTTTACTAGGGTCCGCGTTAAATTTTGGGAAATTTCAGGCTGGCCAGTTTGACTTTTAATTGATACCTTTTCAAAAACAAATTAAACATGAAGGTCCCATTTCAGAATTTCACCACCAAAAAATAAAAACTAGTCAGCCCCGGTGTTTGTTTAAACTAGGGTCTTTTAAGGTCGAAAAAATAAGTATTTTATATTACAACGTTTATATAATATTGGGGGAAAACTTCGAAATCCACTTTTTGGCATTGCCTGGCAATATTTTTGCTGGATGTCAAAAGGAAATCTAATCGATTCTTGAAATCGAAAAAACATAGTTTTTTTTTAAAATTAGTGTTTTTAATTTGATCTTAGGGGAAAATTTCGAAATCCAATTTTTAGCAATATCTTAATTATATGTTAAACAGAAAACTAATCGATTTTGAAACAGTTTTTTTAAAAATATATTAGGGCTGGTAATTTAATATTAGAGGAAACATTTCGAAATCCGGTTTTTGTTTTTATTTTTGTTACTACAATTTAAAAGGAAATCGAATCGATTTCAAAAAAGAAAAAATAATATTTTATATTAGGGTTTTTAAGTGTAATATTAGGGGAAAACTTCAAAATCCAGTTTTTGACCATATTCTAATTAGATTTCAAAAGGAAATCTAATGAATTTTGATATAGAAAAAATAGTCTTTGATATGAGGGTTTAATATTAGGGGAAAGCTTCGAAATCCAATTTCTGGCAATATTTTAATTTGAATTTACAAGGAAATCTAATCGATTCTGAAATAGAACAAATTTAGTTTTTTATATTGGAATTTTTCATGCAAGATTAGGGGAAGCATCGAAATCCAATTTTTGAACATATTTTAATAATTGGATTTTAATTTGATATTAGGGGAAAGCTTCAAAATCATTTTTTTTTGTTTTTTTCATTAGATTTCAAAAGGAAATCTAATCGATTTTGAAACAGGAAAAAAACAAAATGATATTAGGGTTTAATATAAGGGAAAAACTTCGACATCCAATTTTTTGGCCATATTTTATTAAAATTTTTAAAAGGAAATCTAATCGATTTCGAAAAAGAAAAACATACATAATTTTTTATGTTGGGGGTTTTTATTTGATATTAAGCTTCGGAATCCACTTGTTTGCCATATTTTAATTGGATTTAAAAAGAAAGAAATCTGATCGATTTTTAAATAGAAATATGTGTATATATATATATGCGCGTGTGTGTGTGTGTTTTTTTTTATCAGTATTAGGGGGAAGCTTCGTACCCTAATACTAAAGACCCCCCCAATACTAAAAATTCCTCCAGGTGTTTGTTATTTGGGTGGGTGGGTGAAGGGGCGACTGTTTAGCAACAGGGGGAAGGGATTAAACCGTTTTTTGTTTCTAATTTCAAAATCCATGAAAATAATCTTTAAATAGAATACTGCCAAGAATAGGATTTCGCAGCTTTCGCCTAGTATCAAATAAAACACCAACACCTGAATTAAAAAAACTAAAATTGACGATTTTAAAGGACGGACCCCAATAAAAGACACCCCGGTGTTGACTAGTTTTTTGTTCTTTGGGGGTGAAACCCTCACATGGTACCTTCATTTTTAAAATTGTTTCCTCAAGGGGATCAATTAAAAATCAGATTAACCAATTTGACATTTCCCAAAATTGGAAATCGCACCTAGTTTTTGTCATTTTGGGGGTATTTTTCGTAATAGGGAGAAAGGATTAGCAAAAATAATGCCTGATCAAAATGATGCTGATTCTGTGTGTTACAATCTTTTTGCCCACTACAGTGTCTACAGGGTTACAAGGGATGCCGTGCCAGCTAGAGTCCCAAGTCCATTCAACCAACACCCTAATCGATGAAGTTGGACTTGTTGAAATGGAAGTGGGACTGGACCAGTTGACATGGGGCGATGCTGACCTTCAACGGGAGCTTCGGCGCCTGAAGGACAACAGTTTGAAAATTCCGAACCTGAAATATATTTTCAAAATTGCCTTACTAAGAGTGATCCCCACCCTGACACACTATTCTGACATAGTTTCTGACATATCATCTGGACGTATATGTGGCACATATGTTCTGACATACTATCTTACATTCTTTTCTGAGATTCTATTTGACATTCTTTCTGGCATCCTATCTGGCATCTATTCTGACATACTTTCTGGAATATTCTATATTCTGATCCTGCCTTGCCATGAGTTTGGGCTGGGAGTGCTTTTATTTGCGTGGATCAATGCCAATGGCTTGAATATCCCCCAAATGTTGGTTTCACATGTTTGCACCCAATGATTGCCATTACCATTGATACCCCAAAATGGCCAGGTCCTGAATTTGAGAGTAGGTCCTGAAAAGTTTTCTGGGTACTGAAAAAACAGGATTTTGGCACAGGGTCTGAAAAAAGACGTAGGTGGAAGATTCAGGTATGCTGTTGGGTTGCAAAGCTGGGTTAATTAAAACCCTAAATCATGAAAAAGTTAAAGTCAAAATCACTGCGTATAGCCAGTGTTTTCATGGATCCTCTGATGATAAGTATATCATATTGTTTGGATGTGTTGTTTGAGTGTGGGCGAACCAGGGGGTTTGCCATATTACGAGTCTTAGCCAATACCATAAGTTGGTTTCAAAACCCCATGAATAGACTATAGTTATAAGATGTTATAAGTATCATAAATAAGAGTTATTGGAGTTATGTTCACCAGCTATGTTGGAAATCACCAACAAAAATCCCATGAGAAATCACCACTTTCCCATGGATGCCCCATGGTTTTTTTCGCCAGGCCTTGCCGCCTGCCCTGACGTCCATGATGCCCTTGGCTCCGCCCGAAGGTGCCGCAGGGGAGTTCGCTTAAACGCAGCCTGGGGAAATCATGGCTTTTTCATGCGGGAAATCATCCCCTTTTATGGGTTTGTCTGGAAATGGTGTATAGCCCCAATCTAACCATTTAGTGGGGATAGTGAGCATTTTCCCATGGATTTGAGGATACTCTATTTTCAGACAAACCCAAATGGCCGAAGTATTCAGGTGAGTGAAATATTTTCATCTACCCAGACTATATGCATCTATATGCTATCTATATGCTATCTATAAGCTGTTTGCATCCACTATTTTCATCCATGGATGCTAGTTCGTGGTCTATATGCTTTACATATATATATAAGCTATCCATAAGCCATGTATCACTGGGCTATGATTGTTAACCACTTGTGGGATGCACGGAACCGTGTATTAAAGTCTCTGGAGGGTCGGCCAATATTAAGTTATATATTTCTGGGTAAATTATACCCTCTGGTAATGGCTGACATAGCTATTGAAAATGGCCATTTATAGTGGATTTTCACATTGAAAATGGTGATTTTCCATAGTTATGTTAGTTTACCAGAGGGTAACGACCTCACGTCGTTCTCCCGAACCCTGGAATCATGGTTTTTCATTAGGGAAATCATCCCCTTTTATGGCCGCAAGATTCAGGTTAGTGAAATATGATAATTTACCCAGATATTTTGTGAATGTTGCTTGAATATTTTGTCACTAGCTTTTCAAAGATATACGCATAGTATTGAGAATGTGGTAACATATAATGAGACTGGTTGGTGGTTTCAAAGATTTTTTATGTTCCATAATATATGGGATAATCCTTCCCAGTGACTATTTTTCAAGATGGTTAAAACCACCAACCAGGAGAGATAAAAGCACAAAAAAAGGATTTGGGTTTGATGGGGATACCCTCTGGTAAACTAACATAGCTATGGAAAATCACCATTTACAATAGGTAGATTAACTATTTCAATGGGCCAATTTCCATCGTTTTTTGTATGTTTACCAGGCCGGCTACCCACTATGTGGCGATGAAGCCATGAAATATGGCCAACAATGGGATGGAATGTAGGCACCCTATTTTCAGACAACCCCACTTGCTTTCCATGGACAACACACATGATAAATATGGATAACTTTACACAGAAAAATGGTAAACAACTAGCTAATCAGAGCCCAAAAACTCTGGAATTTGGGAATATCACCAATACTGCAACAATTTATTGGCTTTCGAACACCATCTTCTTTTCGATTTGATGAAATGCGATGAACGATCTCACGATGGAATTTCGGAGGCGTCCCAAACAACCACCAGATGCCCAATTCCTAGGGTAAGACGTCCCACTTAAAGTGAGCCATAAAGATACCTCTGTTCATGGCTTACTTTGTTGGTTCTTATTCTAGCTGGTTAAACATGGCGATTAATAAATCATGAACGAAGCAAGAAAATCGGAATATTTGCTCACCAATCCATGGGATTCTTCAATTGGGTATGGGTCAAAATTAGGTACCCCAATTTCATTGGATGGTTGTTCTACTAAACTAGACTAATTTCCATCTGTGGTCCCATTAATGGTCTTCCATTTTGACCCACATCCAATTCTCATTCGTATTTTTCTCTTATCGAGTTCGTGATTTTTCTTGTTGGTCAAGCTATAAGCTATATACATCGCTCATCTTTTTTTAAGTCTAGGGGATGGTCACAAAAATCCATTGGATAAAGCCTCTGAAATCAAGGATGATCAGGGCTCTCAGAGAGACCATGGTGTTCCCCATGAAGAACCGATTTGGATTTCGGGTATTGATGTATTAATAATCATTTATATGTGTATTATATAATATGATAATATAATAATAATAATATATGATAATATACAATAATATACAATAGTAATAATAATAACAATAATAATAATGATAATAATAATAATATATAACAATATATAATAATATAATAATAATATATAATATTATATAGATTTTATATTATATACATATATATATATATATTATATATATTATATTTATTAATATTCTGTATGTTGTGCATATTTAACTGCATCTTTCGGCTCCCAGTTACAGTATACCTGGCGTTTCCGAGACGGTCTCCTCCCCTGACCTGCAGGATATCTTGCGGACGCACCTGATGGTCAAATGGCCTGGGCCCCTAAAAAAGTTTGACCATTGATTGGCCAGCAACCATAGGGAGAAATAGTGGGATTTCATGCACAGAGGGGCCCCCCAGTTATAAGTTGGTTTAGATTCGCCCCAATAACTATAGTTATTTGCGTACCATAAACCATAGTGACATTGGAGTTATGTTCACCAACTTAGCTATCGTTTGGGGGCCCCACTTTGTGGGAATATAGATATATATAGGGATTTGGTGGGATTTCATGGGAATATAGTTATATATATATATACATATTTGAAATGATCATGTGATATAAGTTTATCTAGTATAACAATGGGAATATATAGTGACTACTGGGTATCCGATATGTTTTTTTGCCCTAGGGTAAAACTCACGTAGATGTGGATTTTTCTGGCTGGTGTCCGTTCGGAAAATCATCGAGAAATGGTTGAGGTTCCACATCTATGTTAGTTTACCCCAGGGTATATACCATCTGGTTATTTAACAAAGCCATAGAAAGTCACCATTTTTAATTGGAAAATCCACTATTTCAATTGTCATTTTCAATAGCTATGTTAAATTGCCAGAGGGTATATAACAATTATTGGTATGAAGAGTGGCTTAATCGGCTTAATCTACCAAATTCAAAAATAAATGAACTAGTTGGTATTTATACCTTGTTTAATGCAATGTAATGTGGGGTTCCCGAGTGATGTGGATGTTGGTTTAGATTCACCCTATGAATACTATAGCTATAAGTGCGATAAACCATAGTGACATTGGAGTTGTAAACCAACTTGGGTATCTAGGGGGCCCCACTCTGTACTTATAGCTGGCTTATTCTACCAATGAGTCAGGGTTGCTCCAACCCTTTTTGGTAGGTTATAGCCGCTTGGGGGAAAATTGCTATCTATTTCGGTGGTTTTACTTCTCCATCTACCCGATAGTATTAGGGGTCTTGGGAGCAACCTTGTGGAGGATACTGGGGGGTTTGACATTAATGTGCCAGCTATTTTGGTGTGTATCGGTCAAGTAGAGATATGGGAATTTCCTAAAATGGGGGTACCCCAAAAATGGATGGTTTATAATGGACAATCCATCTATAGATGGATGATTTGGGGGTATCCCTATTTTAGGAAATCACCATATCGAAGCGTGGGAATAAATGTTTCTTTCCGTCTGTTTTTACGTCTCTACACAGATTGTCACCGACACCTCTCTCCGTACATATTTGAATGCGCACATTTGGACGACAGCCATATTTCTTGATCCACTATACATGGCCATTTTCAATAGCAAACTGTTAGTTTACCAGAGGGTATTTCTAGTGTTTTACCAATGTCCAAGCATGGTTGATGGGAATCTTGATCCAATTCCCATGCTCGTTGCCCAAAATTAACAGATCGACAGATTGACCACCTCAGTTAGAATCGGTGATTAGTCAGTTACCATCTGGTTATTTAACATAGCCATGGAAAATCCCTGAACTAAATGGAGGTAATTTAGCTGGGAAAATCATCTATTTCTATGGGCCATCTATACCATGGCAATGTTAGTCATAACCAGAGGGTACTATCCATAGATTGGGTCGCTGGGTCGTTGGGTCATTTCTGGACATGTTGCAGCAACTGTTTATCCAGTCGGAACCTTTGAAACATTGGTATGATCCCATCATACGTGCTGGTTTGCCAAATATTCCTTTAGGAGCACGTACTGTGACCCCTACAATAACCTACAAATTGATATGTTGGCAACTCAGTGACCTGAAAACGTTGTGGACTGGCATTGATTGACATTAGTCTGTCCAAAACTGGGGTATCTCCAAACTTGCAACAGGTTTGTGATGGTTTGTGCTTTCAACTTTCTTTTATTGTTAATAAGAAATTGACGAGAACATGCAACTAGGGGTGGAACATGCTGGAAACCAGCAACTAGATGTGTTTTGGATGGGATGCCGATGAACCAGAATTAACCAACAATTATGGATAACTAAATTATGTTAAGTATATTCATTGATAATTGATGATGTAAGTATAGTTCCATTACATCAATTAACTATCATGGATACCAACAATTATGCCATTATGTTATGCCAACCAATGATAGTTCCATTGATGGCAGAATTCCTACTGTTATCCCACGTTGGTGCTTTCAGTATTTAGGATGATCATTCCCATTGTTTAATAGATTTCAGTGGAGTGGCCACCAATAAGTTATGTTTCTAAGCTGTTCCATGAGTGGTTAATTTCCATTAGAATGGCTAATAATTAGGCTAGGATATGATTAGCCATTTTTAGAAGGCTTATATTTCAGTGGTTATACCATTGAGCCATTATTGGCTAATTTCCTGCTTAATGGCGAACAAAACCATTGGTCCAAGAGTTCCATTAACCCAACGAAATTGTGTTGCAATCAAGGAGAAATGGAATTGGTTACAGTATGAAGTAATGTGAACCCTGGATTAATAACCCCCTTGGCTGTTTATTTGGGAGGGTACCATTTAAGTATCAGATAATGAGTATTGGAGGAGTACCACCCTAATTAATAAACTATGGTTTATTAATCCGGGATTGACATTACTACCTAGTTATTGGAGATTATGAACTAACCCATATTAAGAAAACCTATCAACCAACTAGTATAGCCAGCATGGGGTATGCTATATTTTGCCCAGTTGAATAGGGATTATCAAGTATTAGTAGTAAAAATTGAAGACTGGCATCCTAGGTAGTTGATATTTGTAAACTATCAACCATAATTACCCTCTTGCAATCAAAGGTTAGCAATGGGAAATCCCCGAACTAAGTGGAGAATGTAGCTGGGAAAATACTCTATCAATGGGAGATTTTCCAGCATTCTATGTTTGATTACCAGACTGTAACTTCAGTAACTTCTCCCAATATTGATGGTTTTTATTTTATTATTCCATTATATCACATATATCACTATTAATCATAATTCCCCATTCTATAATCATAGTGACCACGTGATTAACCATTAGTAACCGCTATTAACCACTATGAACCATGAACCACTATTAAGAACTATGAATCACTATTAATCCACATTAATCCACATTAATCCACTATTACCATCTATAAATCACTATTAACATCTATTAACCACTATTAATCAGTATTAACCGTTATTAACCATTACTCATCATCAATCCAGCATGGCTCTCTCGTGAGGTTTGCGACTTTGGCACCACAACGGAGCTGGTGGAATACGATACGAGCCCTCTAAGGCACCGGTTTTTGACAAACGAGGTGAAACAGCGGAGAAAAAAGGGGCCAAGGCCATGAAAATAGGGATGAATGATTTCTTCGTGATTTATGAGCTACAAAAAGAGAGAATAAGATATACAGTAATAAGTACCATAATATGGGATTTTCAGCTACCCAAAATGGATTTCGACCCGCACGCACAAAGCGCGGTTGATTTTTTTGCATCTCCATTTCGTCACAGGCAAAGCGTCAAAAGTCCGCCGATTCACCATAGATTCACCTTCGACAAAACTCTCGTCTGTCTGAAAATAGGGTACCCCCAAATTTGAAGGGGTATACCATAGATGTCGTTTTCCCATTGGTTGGTTGTTTAATAGAGGGGTTTGTTTACCCCGTTAACAACAGGTAAATGATGATAGATGGTATACCAAACCGGCCCCTCTATTTTTACCAAAAGGACATTATTGGGGTACACCACAATGAATGGCTGGTTGGTGGTTTCAAACATTTGGATTATTTTCCATAGTATATGGGATAGTCCTTCCCATTGACTTTCATACTTTTCAAGGTGGTTAAAACCACCAACCAGATGGTAATAGTGGTGGTTAATAGTGATTAATAGTGATTAATAATGGTAATAGTGGTGGTTAATACTTTTGTGAGTGATTTTCCCTATTCAAATACATTTTTGGGGGCATACCACAATTTCAGTCAAGCCTAGATACTGTATCATATTGTTGGTTCGTTGTTTATGTGTCCAAATATAGCCCACTGTATCCCCATTATGATGGTTGATTATATGGCTACGAGTCAAAACCCTGGTACACTGGACACTAGGTACCCTAAAATAGATTGTTTATGGGTGTTGATTACCCAAAATATGGTAATGTCATAGGTAACTTGACCCATCCCCATATAATGTAATATATGGGATTGCCTATCCCCATTTCTATCCATTTCTGTTGCTCAACCTAGACTTGCTGATGATTTTTTACTTTCCCAAAGAGGAATTCACTACTGGGGAATCTATATATAGGAAACATGTTTTGTTTTTTTTGGGTCCTTAAGCAAATGCAAACAAATCAGAAAAAACACAACTACAAATATGGGAATGTTGGCAATCCAAAAAACATGTTCCCATGCAAATTCATGGAAAATGCCAGTGACTTCCCAAATTTATCTCATTGTCAGGCGGGGCTATATGCCGTCACTCCCAACGTCTCAACCCGACCGGGGAGATGATTTTGAGCCGTGACACTGCCACGGGATGCACGGACCAGGGGATAAGACAGGAGACGTAGGGATGAGAAACGGAACATGCTGCGGACAATCATGGTAAATACCATCTGATTATGACTAACATAGCCATAGAAAATCACCATTTTTAATAGGTAAACCATCTATTTCTATGGGCCATCTATACTAATCTATACCATGGCAAACTGTTAGTCATAACCAGATGGTACATGGTAAATCATGATAATTTTTATGATTTCTTAAATCCTGTTTGTTTTCCTGGTGGATGATGGGATGATCAGGGTCAATCCATTGAAACAAAGGTTTTCATGTGGATTATTCCAATGGAGCTGCTCGGAGAAATGGTTGTATCGTGTTGTATCCATATTCCTATCTTGCACGGGAGCAAAGGAGCTACGAAGAGTTTTTCCAACCACATGATAGGATAGAAACAACAAAAAGAGGGACAACTGCAAGAAATGATGCAGATGTTGCCATGAAAGATGCACAACATGGATAAATTTGAACAACAGGCAAGGGAAAAAACAACAAATTACATAAACATGCACACAATTGGATTTCAACACACTTAAATGGGAACTCAACCAGCAAGAATTGGTTCTTTTCAACCAACAAAAAGGGGAAAGATAGGATATAGATGGACCGGCCACCCTGAGTTTTATTTTGGATCCAACATCGAGACAGTCTTCAGCCAATTGGAATTCGGATTGCAGATTCCATTTGGCCTCAAGAGGGGTTGCAAGGATCCATCAGTGTGGGATGCAGGGACCATGGACGAATGGTTCCTGCCAGATATTTTGACAGAGTAAAGTACTGCAACTGGTGGTTTGCTTGGGCGTTGATTGTGATGAAACAGGGCCTTTTTTACAAGATGATTGGGATGAAACGGGACCAAATTTACTGGGGGCTATGACCAAGTAGATCCTTTATGCATATATATTATACATATGAATGACCCAGTGATCAGTGGATCCTTTGCAAATATACGTGTAAAAATCTAATACAAGACCTCACAATGGGGCCCCAGCAATGTAGGCCCCGTGGTTGCTTCATCCGTGGCTGTTGATGTTCTGCTCAGCATTTTTCAATGTCAGGAAGCTGGGGACCGTCCGACAAAATGTCGAAGAATTGTGAACATCCAGCAATAAACTGGAGATATCAGCACCAATATATCCCTTGGTCAATGGGATTTTGGTTTCCCATTTTTTCCATTTGGTGCCAACAAACATATGAGCTGTGGTCAATACTCATGCTTAATAACCATTAATAGGGGCTAGTCATCCAATGGTTCATAGGGATTTATAATAACCATTATAAGGATCCTTATTATGGATGGGATGACCATCAACCATATAGTGAGTATTGACCATGGCTCATATGGACTGAATAAGAAACGACGGCGCCTTCAGGGAGGACCGGACCCGGTCCGACGCTGTGAATCCTGACGTTTCTTCGGTCACCGCGAATGCGGGGCCAGGCTCCAAGGCTTCCAAGGCCTCGGATCTTCTGGGATCGTGGGCTGGTCGCCACATACATTTAGATAGGTATATCCCAACAACATAACAACTATTATTATGGTAATGATACATCTATAGTTGATATAATGTTACATCATTTTACATCCAAAAAAATGGAATGGTCTAAATTTAGCTATCTGGTGGGTCGATGATCCCAATTGACATATTTTTCAGCCAGAACCAGCAAATGAGCTTCTTTTTTTGGGTAACCACTGGTTCTCCATATCTGGGCCAAAAGCCAAGTAACAACCCATGAGTACACCAGCAAAAGCACCTGGTCAAAGTACTAGGGCCGCAGAGCGCGTGGACAATGGTGCCGTGTTGAGCAAAAAGACCGTTGTCTCGTCATGGTTTCAAGCTGCTTTAAGCTACAGTAAAGAAACCTAGCAATGAGGAAAATTACTTCATTTATACACATATATAATTATATATATATATAAGTAACACACGCATATATATATATATCACATTAACATGTATCCAGTTGCAGAAGATGATTTGTCTATTAAACACAGAGGGGGCTGTTCCATCTCTATGTTGAGTACCAGAGGATACATTCGAGGACTTCAACTGTCAACTGTCCCATTTTGGATCAGGATGTCACCAGCAACGACAAAGAATGCCCAATTGGACTTCAGAGGGTTGGCAAACATAACTGGCGAACCAGCAATAGTTGGGATATATACATTAATCAAATGGATGTAAAATGATGCAACATTTTATCAACATTTATCAACTATAGATGTATCATTACCATATATATAGTTGTTATGTTGTTGGGATATACCTGTCTAAATGTATGTTATCATCCCTTTTCAATGGTGGAATTAAAATGATGTGAAGGGTCATGGTCGAAACGGGCCCAAGATGTACCCCAAAACCACTGTTTTTCCCAGTAAAGAAACAACGGTTTAAGGATGTTCCAGTAGGGTCCTCCATGATTTAGGACTTCCCAGTAGATTCAATGGGAATTCCAGGATCCTAAAATGGAGGTACCTACCATATATAAGGCCTATTGTTCAGGCCTAAATTTCAGGGAATATCCCCACAACATATGGCCAGAAATATGGTACTAAGTTGGTACCTCCATGTATTGGATCCTGGAATGACCATTGAAATATGGTTTCAAATATCCCAATATGGTTACCTACCATATATAAGGCCTAAATTTTAGGATCCTGGAATGACCATTGATAGATTCCCATGTTTATTGGTGACTTTCCATGATTACCAGGTATTCCTTGCCAGCACATTTCCCATGATTCAACCCGAATTTTTGAGAGGCTCATATGGCGCAGCAGTCGGCGCTGGTTGGCGTTTTGAAACATGGCCATATTTGTGGCGAAATACCATAGAGAAACCAAAGAAAACATTCATGGTTCACTCTTACTTTGCAGTAGTTGACTCTTTTTCACGTTTTACAGTCTTTGAATATGTTTCATGGTTTATGAATGTTTATAAGTTATAAGCTTTATCCAATTTCAAATGGGAATCAAAACTTCTGACTGCAACCAGAAGTTTTGCTGATATCTACCAGTCAAACATCAAATGTTGCGGCTGATGAGGTTTTCAATGACTTGACCCATCCCCTCAGCATCGGAAAGGCATCAGAATCTTGAGATGTCGCAGGAGTCAGAAGATGTCAGCAGTGTTGGTTTTCCTAGAGAAGAAGTCTTGTTTCATGATTTTCATGCCCGAAACGACGCCTGCGAAGCTGAAAAAGCTGAAATCGGCGTTTTGGCTGACTACGTAGCGAGAGAAAGAAGAGGCTTCCCAATGATGGGCCATGCAGCAAAATATGATGTCCAGTAGTGGGGTTGTCACTATAGGATCCAAAAACAGATACCATCTTGTTATTTAACATAGCCATGGAAAATCACCATTTTTAATAGGTAAACCCAGGTAAACCATCTATAAATGGGCCATTATCCATGGCTATGTTAAATAACCAGAGGGTAGAGCATTTTCCACGCACTTTCCAGAGATGAGATCCAAGTGTTTGTTAGGAGACGGTGACTGCAACTGCCTCTTATGATTTTTCACGGGCTTTGAAAAACCAACAGTCAGTCACAACTCCCATTCTTGTTGGGTATTATCTGCATTGTTGGCAAGAATTCCTTTGAGATATTGCACTTTTTGTTCTAATTATTGTTTTTTTCCTTTCCATCCTAAAAACTATGCGAAAATCATCTGCGATCCCTGCCAAATTTCTGGAAAATCCAACCAGTTTAGATGGATTGTTTGTTAAATCTCAATGTTTGATGATTCTTGTGACTGAACCGCTTGTTTTTGTGGGGTGAAAGTCCTAGAGGTGCCAGGTTTTATGGCTTTGAACTCCAATTTTTCAGATTTTTTGTGAGTAAATCCAACCTTCAATCGGTCAACCTTGATGGGTTTTTTGATGGCTTTGCAGAATCATGAGATACTACGGTGGGTGGAAGAAATCCTGCACCACCTCTTTTTCAGCTTAGATTTCAAGTGTAGGCCTTTGAAAGTGGTGCAGGATTTCTTCCATCAACAGTATGGAGGGGGCAGCCCTGGTAATTTCATTTCTTCCGAGCCAACTGAGCCACTGGTACCCTCTGGTAAATTAACATAGCTATTGAAAATCACCATTTTGAATAGGTAAATCAACTATAAATGGTACATTTTCAATAGCTATTTTGACATAACCAGAGGGTATGAAAAATTGCTTGGATTTCTTGGGGCCAACTGAGTTCCCTCCAGCAAGGCACACTACGGGATTGATGATCTTCACGTTGGACGGGCAGTTGACATGTCACCTGAACAGTGCCTGGGAGCAAAATTGAAAATCGCGGATGTTTCTCGTCCCAGAAACCATGGTTTTTTTCTCGGAAAAGATGGAAATATATGGGAAACGATGGGAAAATATGAAATCATATGGGAGAATATGGGACCAGATGGGAGAATATGGGAAAATATGGACAGATTGGGCATATGGGAAACTGCTGGAACATCATCTGGAAAAGGAGGTTTTAAATGGGAACGTCATCTACAAAATGAGGCAAGACCCGAATGATAAACACCCATCAGAAGACCCAAGTGGATGTAGGGGATTAAGCCACAAATTTGGGACCATAGAATGGGGTGCTTAGTATGAAGGGATGATTGGGTTAGTATGATTGGCAACTTTCAGATTTGTTTCCGTTGGCCGCCACCCACAAGTTTATGTAAGTTGGGGGTTTTATATATATATAATTGTATATATAATATATATAGTTATATATATATATATATAAAATTATATATATCTCCATGTATTGAGGTGGTAAATCCCAGCAATCCCCAAATTCACCAGAAGTAGGATGGTATTTAATGATCAGCCCTTCGGCCTTGTTTCCAGTGTTTTTTTGCCCGGGATCGTTGGAGAGAATGATCCCCATCCCCCCCGTAAAGTCACATAAATTAGCTATGGAGTTCCACAATTTTAGTCGCTAAATCATGGTAAATCAACTATAAAAATCATCTAACATCTCTATTTCTATGGGCCATTTCATCAA